TTCTGAGTTGAGGGAAATGATAGTAATCTATTTGCAGCTACAGAAACAGTGTCTACAAGATGGACACCAGTTCATAAAAAGCTCTCTAGTCCTTGGTTTGAACATGTCATGCCCCTGTTCACATTTCTCCGGTAGATACTCATTACCTATAAATAATAGATAATCTGCAAATCAGAATCATCTGTGGACATTTGAAAAACCAAACATGCTCCAGGCCTCTTCCCAAAGATTCTCATTCAATGGTTCTGGGATCTGAGTATGAACGTTTTTAAAACAAACTTTCCAGATGATTAAAATGCGCAAGATTGAGGACAACCAATTTACAAGAGGAGGTCTCGAGCCTTCAGTACTACACACAAGCCTCACATTTCATCTTCCAACAACACCCATCCACTTGCGGCTCCCCACAAACCATCTCTGAGCCTTTGAGCCAGCCACCCTTGCCTTCATTGAGAGTTTGGCAGATTAGCCACCATCCAGGGTGTGGCTCCCATGAGGCTTTCTGTCCATTCTTCCCTGACATTTCCAGATACACAATAGATACAGAGAAAGGAATCTAAACAGACTGCTACAGAAAATCATCAAATCCGCAAAGGGAAGAGAACAAGAGAAGAATAGAGGAACAAAGGAAATACAAAACAGCCAGAAAATAATGAGCAAAATGGCAATAAGTGCATACCTATCAATAATCACTTTAAAGGTAAATGAACTAAATTCTCCAAAGACACAGAGTGTCTGAATGGATTAAAAAAAAAAAAAAAAAAAAAAGACTCACTTCAGAAGTAAAGACACACACAGGCAGAAAGTGAAGGAATGGAAAAAGATATTCCATGCAAATGGAAATGAAAACTTAGCAGCTACACTTACATCAGACAAAACAGACTAGACAAAGACTATAATAAGAGACAAGGAAGGTCATTATATAATGATAAAGAGGTCAACCTAACAAGAGATATAATACGTGTAAATAGTTACATACCCAGCATAGGAGCACCTAAATACAGAGAGCAAATAGTAACAATTATTATTGTATTGCTGCCTATTTCTTCTCTAAGGCAGCAATACAATACTAACAGGGGATTTTAATGCCCCCTTTCATCAATGGCTAGATCATCCAGACAGAAAATCAATAAGGAAACACTGGCCTTAAATGACAAGTTAGACTAGATGGATTTAACATTCCCAGGCGGGCGCACACCAGACTGCCCCTGCATACACCTTATTCTGACAATCACATTTATCACAATAAAGTATTTGTTTACATGTCTCCTTACTGAACTGTAAGCTCCTGGAGGATAGACATCATTCTTTTTCTTCTTTATATCCTGCTGTCAAGCAAAATACCTATCATCTGATAGGTACTCAATCAATTTTTGGTGAATGAATTAATAAATGCACATGTGAAAGTAATATAGTCAAAAGTGTGATAAAGAATACTATTGGCATTATTTTGTTGAGCAAAAGAAAACCTGAATAAACAAAAATCGAATTTTTATTCAATTAGATTCTTCATAATGTGCCTTGGGTTCTAAAAGTTACTTAATAGTCCTCAAGCACCCTAAAGGGAAAACTCTTGGGAATCTCTGACTCAGAAGCAATGCTGCTTTCATCTTATGTCTAGAACTCATTTCAAGGGGACTCATATGACTTCAATTCTAGTCTTAGACACTGCTGAAAGAAATCTCTGAAAGAAGCTGGCAGGAGAATTGGTAAGACAAAGATTACATTACATATGCAGTTTAGGGTTTTCTGAATAGCATTTTGCTAAGCTACAGGCTATATTATAGGATTTAAAATATGACTCAGAACACTAACTATGATGCCAACGTTTTTATTTTTAGATTTTTTAGCAGAGGAGATGGCTATAAATTCAACCTACTCAGTCTACAAATCCTCTAAACTTCCTCCTCGAGAACAGAAAAGCACTTGGCATTTCTCCGGGTATTATTTTATTTGCATATATAGTGATGCTGGTAAAATTTTGGTAACTAAAGAAGAATTAATAACTGAAGTTCTAAATGATTCCCATGATTACTGCTTAAGTTGGCAAAATATCCTCAAGCAAAGAAGAAACTTGCTCATGGAAGTGTGCATGGGCAGACTGTTCAGTTTTTTTCACAATAGTATGCTCACTTGTAGTTATATCTGTGTTCTCAGACAAGTGCCAAGGGGACAATAACAGAAGGACCACAAGTTTGAGAAGACAAAATGGAACCACAGAAAATTCAAAGGCCTGGTAAAAATATTCTTGCCTTATACCAAGTGTGCTTTGCTCTTTGACACCTTAGCTTCTCATGATCCTATTTCTTATTTTTTAAAAATTCAACTATACAGGGCGCCTGGGTGGCTCAGTCATTAAGCATCTGCCTTCAGCTCAGGTCATGATCCCAGGGTCCTGGGATCGAGCCCCGCATCGGGCTCCCTGCTCAGCGGGAAGCCTGCTTCTCCCTCTCCCACTCCCCCTGCTTGTGTTCCCTCTCTCGCTGTGTCTCTCTCTGTCAAATAAATAAAATCTTAAAAAAAAAAAAAAATTCAACTATCCTGAGAAAATGTACCCCTGTTAAATGTACAGTTGGATGAGTTTGGACAAATGTGTACCTACGCCACCTCAAGCAACATACAGAACACTGCCCTCACCAAAAAGTGCCCTTCTGCAGTCAACTCCCACACTCACTCACCCCTCTGATTTCCGACCCTACCAATTAGTTTTGTCTGTTCTAGAGCTTCATATAAATGGAATCGTGCAGAATATGCTCTTTTCGTACCTGTTTCTTTCTTTCAACATGTTCTTCACTTCCAGCCACAGTGTATCAGCAATCCCTTCCCCTCAGTTGCTGAGTAGTATTCCACTGTATAAATATACCACAAGTTATCTGTTCACCAGTTGAGGAACATATGAACTATTTCCAGCTTTTAGTTGTGATAATAAAGCTTCAATGAACTCTCGTATATAGGGCTTTCTCTTGGGTAAAAGCACAGGAGCAGAACTCTTAGACCTTAGGGTAAATGTGTTTAACATGAGAAACTGCCAAACTGTTCTCCAAAGTGGCTGTATCTTTCTCTACTCCCACCAGCCATGCCTCCTGACCTCTCCAGTTGCTTCATACCCTAGTCAACACTTGGTATTGTCAGTCTTTTAAATTTTAGCCATGCTGGTGGGTTTGGGTGTACCTCACTGTGGTTTGATCTACAAAGTATGAAATGTGTTTCCTTCATCATTCAACCTTCTCCTCCTTCTATAGAACACAGGCCATATGGTGTAATAAAAGATCACTGGGCTAGTTTCTGGAATCTTGAATTTTATCACCAACTTTGTCACTACATAGTTGCATAATGCTGTAAAAACCATCTACCCTGACCTCATTCTTGCCCCTATCTATAAAACGGTTAAATCAGCCCAAATGAAACTTAAATTCTTGTTCTAAATAAAAATGAGCATAAATGAGTTTTATCAAAAGCAACATATTCCTTTCATAATAGTTAAGCATTATTTTTGCATAATGTCCCACAGTTTTCAAAGAGAATTTGTATCTATCCTATTTAATGCCAAAGGAATAATTATCTCCAAAATACCACGCATTAAAAAAAAAAAAAAAAAAAGGAATAAGAACCCAGCAAGAAAGGAGATTCCATTCAATTTAAGACTCCCTCTTTTGCCTGGTGCTACAAAGCTGGTTTGCTAAATTAGTTAACCTTCCTGAATTCCCTTTCATAGTCCTCTGAGCTTAATTTCCAAATTGCTTTTAAAAACCTTTCTGACTCGTAAAACACAAATAATCACCTTTGGTCATTTAAGTTTTGCTCACTAAGCTTTAAATTGCATGTAATGACTCAATTAGCAAATTGCTGGATTTCACTGGCCATTCTGCCTTATGCACACACAATATTTCTTTACTACTGTTAAGCCTCATATATCTAGCAACTTGGGGAATTAAGCAAATTCCAAAAGTTAGTCCTTATCCTTTTTGTTCCCATAAGGCAAGGTAAAGTAAAGGTGAAGACAATGTTAATGATAAAAGCAGGAAAACATCATACATTTTTTATGAGGAAACTTAAGGAGTTGGAAGAAAGGGTAAATAGTGATCAAAGGTGAGGGGGGAATACATGGCAAAACACTAAAGGAAATGAGTTTTCAGTTCCAAAAAAAGATGTACTAAAAGAAAAAACCTGCAAATAAAACACCATGTTCAGGGAGATATGGGGGGAAGAACACAACACTTCTTACCTTCAATTCCTGCCTAAGCAAATTATATATTGCCTACCCAAGATTCAGATTACACTTAACAAAGGTTTCCCATATCTTGTTTGTTCTAAAGATATCTCAGAATATGCCAGCAGACACAGAATAAACCTTTTATTGCTGACAGCAAAAAAGACATGGGCTTCAGTGGGAGGTCTATTTCAACATGAATGAGGGAAGTTGAGTTGCAGCTAAAAAAAGATCACATCATTTATTTAAAAAATATATATATGCAGTGTAATTCCAAAGGCCTTTTACCCATGAGGGGAAAAGGAAAATAATCCACCTGCCATCAGGGCAGTAGATCATTAACCTCTCCTGGGTCACTAACCTCTTTAAAAGTCTAATGGAAGTTAGAATGCAGTCTTTCCAGGAAAACAATCCTATGGCTTTGCCCAGCCCCCAGAGGTTCAGCTCCATGAAGGCCTTCCATGGAGCCTTTAAGGGTTTAGGGACCCCTAGGCTTAGATGAAGGGCCCCTGATTAAATAAATTCATCAGTGTGATTTCTGCTGACAATAATTCAAATAGGCTCTGTATCCAGAAAGAGGAAAGCAAACCTCTCCTAATCCAACCTCACAGAGTGGTATAAGGATTAAGAGGAGACATGGAAGCACTAGGTAATGGGAAAACTGGCCACTGGTTAGAACCAGTCAGTAGAGAAAGTTCTCTGGCCTTTGTTAAGGAGAGGTTATAACTCGTGTAGTCTACATGCTCCATTTTAAAGACCAGTCACTGAGACCCAAAGAGGCTGTGCTTGCCTGATGACACATGGCTGTATGTGGAAGAGCGAGGATGAGAACCCAGATTTTCCAACTCCTAGTCCGATGGTTTCCCATGATATCACATAACTTCCCCATGTGTGGCTGGCTCAGGGCCACATGTGAACTATTCTTAGCCTTGTTCATGGAGGTATTTGTTGTTCATCAGGAAATACTTGTTCCGTCCGCTGTTCCTTTGTTTCCTTAGCGTCTTAAAGAAAACAGAGATGGAGACTGTGTTAGCTTCCAATTGCTGCTGTAACAAAACTAGGTTTGTTGAGTCCTGTGGCTTCAAACAATACAAATTTATTCCCTTACAGTTCTGGAGGTCCGAAGTCTAAAATCAGCTTGTCAGCAGGGCTGTGTTCCTTCTGGAGGCTCTTGTGGAAAATCTGCTTCTTTGCTTTCTCCAACTCTCCCAGACTACCTGCATCCCTTGGCCCAGGGCCCCACATCACATCCCACTTTCCATTATCCCATCTCGTCACATTGCAGTCTAGTAACGGATCGCCTGCCCCTCTCTTAGAAGGGCCCTGTGCGGGTGCCTGGGTGGCTCAGTCGTTAAGTGTCTGCCTTCGGCTCAGGTCATGATCCTGGAGTCCCAGGATCGAGTCCCGCATCGGGCTCCCTGCTTGGCGGGGAGTCTGCTTCTCCCTCTGACCCTCCTCCCTCTCATGCTCTCTGTCTCTCATTCTCTCTGTCTCAAATAAATAAATAAAATCTTTAAAAAAAAAAAAAAAAGAAAAGAAACCTATCTATGGAGCGCCTGGGTGGCTCAGTCGTTAAGCGTCTGCCTTCGGCTCAGGTCATGATCCCAGGGTTCTGGGATCGAGTCCCACATCGGGCTTCCTGTTCCACGGGAAGCCTGCTTCTCCCTCTCCCACTCCCCCTGCTTGTGTTCCTGCTCTCGCTATCTCTCTCTCTGTCAAATAAATAAAATCTTTAAAAAAAAAAAAAGGGCCCTGTGCTTGCGTTGGCCCTACATGGATAATCCTGGATAACCTCCCCATCTCCAGGGCCTTCCTTTAATCATATCTCTAAAGTCCATTTTGCCATATAAGGTAACATTCACTGGTTCCAGGGATTAGGCTGCGGATATATTTGGGGGTTGTTATTCTACTTGCCACAGACAGACATCTGCCTTACAGCCAGAATTCTCAAATCATCCTTCTTTTTCACTTATATTTCTGAATGTCTCAAAATTAAATCACATCAGTTTGTTCCCATACCTTTTTCTAGCCATTTCCTCTCCTTCCTCTGTGCCCCATAATGAATTCCTCCTTTTAGAATAAACCTATTCTAGAAATGGAAGGTACTGACATCACCCACTCAATGACTATTCATGCTTGTTGGCTTACTCTGATGTTGGAGGGGCAATGACTGGGGAATGGATGTCTGGGAGCATCCCTCCAGCTCACTTTCTACCTCTGAACATATACTTCTTAAGAGAATATTCAATAATTTTTAGAATTTAAAAAAAAAACATCTTCAGGGGCGCCTGGGTGGCTCAGTCAGTTAAGCATCTGCCTTCGGCTCAGGTCATGATCTCGGGGTCCTGGGATCAAGCCCCACATCGAGCTCCCTGCTCAGTGGGGAGCCTGCTTCTCCCTCTCCCTCTGCCCCTGCTTGTTTTCCCTCTCTCACTCACTCTCTCTCTCTAAGAAATAAACAAAATCTTTAAAAAAAATCTCCAGATTCTACCATGTATTATATTGGGGATTTGGATTAGGAGAGGTTTGCTTTCCTCTTTTTGGATACAGAGCCTACCTGAAACTCACACGTTTCCTATTTTAACCTTAAAAAAGTTATATCATTTGCCCACCGTCTTTGAGATCTGAATGTAGGTCTGAGGGGAGGCCACCTTCTCCATGGTACTAGGCTGCCTTTCCGAGCCAAGGCTGACACTGTGCGTCTACGGATCTGAGACAGGTTAGAACACAAGAGCTAGACAAGACCACCAACACAAACCAGCACCACAGATATGCTTGAGAAAACAAAAGAAAATCGGGGGGGGGGGGTGGCGGGGGGGTACTAAATTGCCTTATATCCAAGCATTGTAAATGCTAGACATTCGAGGATGAGCTTTCCGGGATCACTTTTTAAAACAAAAGAAACATTTCAAGACACAGAGTGGCCTCAGAAGGCAGACACCCTACTGTTCTATGACGTAGAATGCTATGTTCCAAACCGGCAAAACTTCCTCCCTTCACATTCCAATTCCACCCGGGGCCCATACCTGCTGTGGCAACTCCAGTCTTCACAGTTCCCGGGAGGAGAAGGGAAAAGCTGCTACCCGGAATAGTTTAATAAGGCCAGCAGTGATTCATGCAGTAATAACAGGCCAAGCAGGCAGATGCCTGCAGAACGGGGCCCAGCTGAGAGGGGGTTTCACGGCCCAAGGTTACAATGGAGAATAAAGAGGACATTCATTACACATTTTCAAGGAGGGAAAGAGCATTAGTACCACCTGCAAACTCCCGAAAAGGAAGTCAAATATGAGGTAATTCAGCTCGACAATTTATTAACACTGTCCTAGAGTTCAAAAGCAACAGACCCATAAAGGTAAAAAGCAACTATGCAAACAAAAGCCCTTTGGAGCGTCTTCTCTCTCAAAGGCCCTGATTTAGTCCCAAAGTTTGTCAAATAAATTTCACGTGCATAACCGTATCTTATGTTTACGAATGGTTTAAAAGAAGCAGAACATGTAAAGGAGAACAAAAATACCCAGACAACTGCAAAGAGACCAACAACCATAGGCCAGTCTAAAAACCCAAACTTGAATAACCCCACAATACAGAACACTTAGGTCATTAATGATATTTCTGATTATACTCCTGTTCCCAAGGAAAACTAACAGTTGAGCAGAACTTTAAGCATGTTATGCAAAGGAAGAGAAAATTTGCTTTTTCATAATTAATCTATCTTAAATTCTAGCTGAGGCAAGTATTCACATATGCTCCCAGTTCACTTCTGAAGTCAACGTTTACATAATTAGTTATTAGACAAGTAAACAGAAGGGCAATTTACAAAATTAATCACTATCTGCTTTTGCTATCAAAATTTGGTATTCCAGGGCGCCTGTGTGGCTCAGATGGTTAAGCGTCTGCCTTTGGCTCAGGTCATGATCCCAGGGTCCTGGGATCGAGCCCCACAATGGGCTCCTGGCTCAGGGGGGAGCCTGCTTCTCCCTCTCCCTCTGCCTCTCTCCCTGCTCATGCTCTCTCTCTTTCTGTATCTCTGTGTCTCAAATGAATAAATAAAATCTTTAAAAAAAAAATTTGGTATTCCAGCCAAAGAATCAAACATACCTATGCAAAGATACATACAAGAGTTACATACAGCATAAATAGAAAGGGTAAGACAATAAACACTAAGATTCATTGGCATTACGGTCGGTGGTTTTGTCTAGAAATAGCTCCGTGGATAAAACAAGAAAAGCAAAGTTTAAAAGAAGGAAGAGGCAGAATGTGATGAAGCTGATGAGAAAAGGCAGGCCATATGTGTCACTGCCCGAAAATGGAACTCAGAGAGAAAGTCAATTTTCTCAGCTGGAGTCGAAAGTAAGAGTTTGGAAGTGATGGGAAATAAGGTCACGTGAGAGCAGTTTTTCACATGTGAAAAGGTAAATCTCTCACCACTTCAACAAAGGCCTTGTGAAAAACATTGGTATCAATGACCTCAACCTGTTTTTATTCAAATATTAACAGGTAATCACAGCATGCTCAACACCAATCTCACTGACAAGTGTGAGTCTTTGCTGGCCATCTGAGAAGCGGAAATCTTGTCATTATATTCCTCTCACGTATCTGAGTTAATGACAAATAACTGAGCTCCTGGGATCAAAGACAAATTACCAGTAATAGAGGTGAAATGAAAACAATTGCCAAAAAAACAGCAACAACAAAAAATACCTTCATCAATTATTAGAATATAAGGTACCTGCTGAGCCAAAATGGAAAACAACCCTCATTTAACAGGTGCTTTGCCAAAAATATATCAATTTTTCCCCCCTAACCATTGAGGAGGAGCATAAAGTACATTATGGTTTCCAGAAGCCTGGGTCCAGGCTGGTCTTCTTAAAACCAGATTAAAAATCAGGATGAACAGGAGCATCTGGCTGGCTCACTCAGTAAAGCATGCGACTCTTGATCTTGGGGTCATGAGTTCAAGCCCCACGGCGGGCATAGAGCTTACTTTAAAAAAAATCAGGATGAACAACACCAGGAAAACTTAGTGTTAACTACTCAGATGGCTTTATCTTTTAAATAAAGTCTGTAAAATTGAGTTTGCCATGCAGCTTACCTTTGAGTGAATCTTCTAGAAATATTTCACCCTTGAGAAATATTGTAATGACCTATGTTTCAGCTAGGTTGCACTTCCATTCATACCTTCTATTCCTTGGTACAGAGTTCAATATCCTGGGGCTTTGGGCAGATGGAAAAACCAGAAATTACAATTTTGCTGAAGTGCCTTCTTCCTGGGAGAGTTGATTTTCCCCACTGCACGGGTTTGTCTCATTTTATGTAATGCATGATCTTGAAAATTGTACGTAGTCATTGAAAAATGATTTCAAGAACCTCGTAGTAGCTTTTTCTTGTTAAGGTAAAACCCCTTTGAAAAATACATTCATTTTTACTCCAGAAAATGAATAGAGAATTGGTTATACAAGCTATTTTAAATCTATACAGTAACCTGTAAGACATCCATTAAAATAATAAAACAAGCACGAGGAAGATTTTTTAACTTAAAAACAATATAGAGCATCACAAGAAGTTGCCAGAACAGTGCAGAGTGTTCAATGTACCCTTCACCTAACTCCCACCAATGGTAATACCTTACATATAAGTAGCCAAAATCAGGAAATTACCATGGGCACAATACAATTAGCTAGACTAGAGTCTGCTCTGATTTCACCAGTTTTTACATGCACTCATTTTGTATGCATGTCTGTGCATTGTGTATAGTTCTATAAAATGTTATCACAAGTATATTCGTGTACCCACTGCAACTAAGACACAGAACTGTTCCATCACCATAAAGGAACTAAAAAGAGAGCCTTTTGCAGTACTAGTACATGTTCTAGATCTCAATCGGGGTGATGGTTATGCTGTATACTTAACATTTATGCAATTTAGAATGTAATTTATGTCTGAATTTTTTTAAAAATGATGATACAGCTCTATTGCCATTAACATGGCAAATACTCCAGAT